TTTTTTTGCCCATTAACCTTTTTTCTTATTTTCCCGGTGCATTGGATTAAAAGTTCTCACTAAGCTCGGTTAGTAACGTACCATTACTATTTTGATCTCGATTGGCACAGACTGATAGTGGTGGCTTGACTATTCCCAATCGATCCTACTTAGGTTGACTCTGTTACGCTTATGGGTTTACATAAGACATTTACCGTCGCCTTGTTGATTAAACACATATTGAAAAGGGAAGATCACCACTGAGAAAACAAGTCTTCGTGCCGCTGGTAATAGCAGAACCGCTCGGTATAGACAAGAGTCTGTGAAGGCGACAGGAAGCTTCGGCTGGTAGCTAATAGAAGGGATACAACCGCGACCTGCGGGACGGGTCGATAGCTGTGTTTAGAAGAGAGAACTAATATAAAGCGCTTCATCGGCAGCCAAAATCGAAACAATTGAGATCCAAAAATAGTAATAATAACAACAAAGAAACATGGATTGAGTCCGAGAGGAAGCGAAACGCAGCATCTATTAGCCAGTCGGGATGCTAGTCTGAGCTAGCTAAGTAATGTTGGTCTGTCCTTTTTTTCCTCTAGTTCCAACTCTATTGGTCCTTCCACTCAGGTCCGCTTTGCTATTTTAAAACGATTATTCCATTGAGTTCTATTGTTGAGGATGTTGCCATAGGCAAAAATATAAGGGCGTCTTTAATTATTTCATTGACTTGATAACTTCAGCCTAATTCTGATCGCTCCGACAAGGTTCCTATTAACACGCTTGTCAATGGACCACACTGTACCTATAGAAATAATGTCGAAGTTGGCCCATGCGTCCGATCTGTGCCGATGGCCTATCGTACTGATGCGCTGGTGATATATGCACTATGTAGGGATGGAACCTTATGTATCCTGCCTTCTTTTGTAATTAATTTCAGTCCAATTTCTTCCTTCAGAGGGTACGCTCTCATACACATATACTGTAATTACCGAGGTCATTTTTAGCTGCTGAGCGAAACGGCTACCCAAAAGACACTAAGCGAAGAGAACTCGGGGATTCCAGTCCGCTGGGTGCGTTAAACAGATAAAGGAATGGACGAAATATTTTCGGGCCCCTCAACTTTTTACGTTTGCAATATGTAGGGAGTGTGATCTGGTAGAATTACGATGCTTTGATTGTTATTTGACATGACATCATAATATTTCTACAATAACATTGGATTGATGTATTTTACTTTGGCGAAACGAAAAGGTCTGTACGCCCTTTGTTTAACGGACAAACAGTTTTGACCTTAATTTTTCTCCTGATGCAGGTGCTTCGTTTTCTATTATTATTTACATATTATTATTTATATGTCTATTATTATTTATTACAATTATTGAACTTCCCGCATTAACAAAACATGATCTACATGTTATATATGTTTCCTATTAAATTTTTCGATAAATCCGTGCAGGACAATAGTAAATTTGACGTTTGCGTCTATGAATAAAATCTAATATCAGAACGGAATTTCATGGCCAGAGACAAAGACGTGTTGATTCAATGAAACTGGCGTTCAGTCCGACGACGGTTCCGATCCCGTATTCCGATCTCTACTTTAGCGTGTTTTTTGAAACTAGAGCATTGTAAGGGGCAAATGCATAGGTTCTATTCGTTTTATAAGTATATCTGTTGCTATTTCCGGTTTAGTATTGGCGTCTCTCCCAACTACCTTAGCCGCTTTCGAGCGACAGATTATTAGACGCTCACGTGCTAACTCGTTCTCTTTATTATTCATACAGTCGCTAGTGGATAATTTTCTTTAAAAAAAACTTCCATTTAACGATTGGAGAAAGTTTCCCAGCAGTGCCACAATAGCCGGAGACATACAACAATGCCACTGTGACCCTATTAGTATTCTAACCGTGGATTTATTCTACATTTCTGAGTAATTTAGCTGTTCCTGTATATCTAATCTAGTCCTGTTCAATATCCCTGCGCACTGGCTTTATCGTCTCTGTCTAATCTGTGAGGTTTTGCAAGGCGCCTCTCTTTGCGGGAATCTTCCTTTTCCCACCGTTGTTCCAGCTTCGCTAATTCGCGAGAAAAAAATTGCTTAGCTCCAGGGCTCGCTGTCGGCAAGTAAAATAGATTGGCGTGGCTGGCTAAGCTTGCTTTGAACGACGACTTGCCCGTCTATCGTTCGCAAACTATAGGCGGTGCGGTGTCGACATTATTTCTATGACTTTCGACAATAATATCGGTAGCCGATATCGATTAGGAACAGCTTCCTTCTGTTTTGTAATGTTATGTTTGTATAGCGGGTGGGGTCGGCGACTATCGATAAAGGATGTATGGCTAAAATGATGCGCGAAACAGATGCGTCTATAACAGTCGTGCGGCCATCAAGCTTACGACATCTTTTTGTTGAAACGATGTCGTAAGCTTCATCAGAGGACGTTTCATGTATTCAAAATGAAGTATACTACGTATATTTACTACGCAGACTATTTTTGCGCTAGTATTTGGATAAATGCAATATACGTACTTAGAAACAAACGGTGATTGTGTGTATCGCTTAGCCCGATAATACATACCGCAAAGGAAGTACCCCATTACATATTGTGTTATACAACAAGCGTATGTAACGAGTCACTTGTCAGTTTTGTACTATTCTTACTGCCTTATCTGATTGATAAACATCGCCATCAGCCGCGTCCAATATACGCGGGTGTTTTTCTTTTCCAGCTGATGTTTGCTGCTACGAAACGACTGCCACACCGCTTTGGCGTAGCCGCCATCGCTAGTACCGTTTCTGGCGTCCGGAGGTGGATTTTAGGGGATGAAAAAGACAAATTATTGCACGCTCGTGCACTCGCTTGCCTAATGTTATATTTTTATAGGCCGGCACACACAATTCACCACTTGACCCCTGACACTCCCTAACAGCAGAAGTTCTAGCATGCAGAACACGCAGCCGTTACGCCCTTACTTACCTTCCCGTCTTTTTTTTTAGTTTTATTTTGCTGGTTGTTGTGTTTTAGTTTGTTGGAAAGTCGAACTCGTGTCGACCGGACCGCCGCCTGCCCTTTATCGAAGCACCCCCGGGACTCACGTGCACAACACGCTAAAATTCTGTGTTTGTCAGCCAGGCCGCATTGTGTCAGATAATGGCAGGCTGAAAAGAGCTCATGGGCAACCGTATCGTGTCTGTGGACCCGATGGTGGGGCGCCTCGCCATTCGTCAATGTGTCGTTAGCCACAAATACTTTTCGGTTTTCTGCTGGTTTTGTAGAGCTGCTAGATGCAGGCAGTGGCCGTCGTCGCCGCTGGTCCGCGTCGAATCGATCGTTTAGTGCTATATTTTTTTGGTTTCCGAATGTGCAAGTAACGTATGAAAGGTTCAACGAGCCAGCCACACTTGGCATATAAAACATGCTTCAATAATACCTGTCACCATTCTGCGACTCTGCTTCTTTCTATTTTACTCTTTCTCTATCGAGAACAAACCCAAATAGATCTAGTACAGCTCTCGTTATCGGTGGAAGAAGCAAAAGCATACGAAGAACACCTAATTCCTACCCATTAGGAAGCAGCGCACAACAGATCCTGACTAGTCAAAATGACTAGAACAATGTGTCTATATGTACATATGTCTTATATGATACGCACAGTGTATAGAACACGAGTCGCGCAGACAAAAAATATTGTCTACCACCTATGAGGAACAAATGCGGTACGTGTGTCCAATGCTAGACGCTTGACGCTTGAGAAATATCTGTGGATTCATTGCAAATTTTTATTATCATTCATATTATTATTATCTCGTACAACTCATATGGCCTTAGAAGGCCACTGCAGTCATTGTTCTAATTACTGTGACGGGCCTTTCGAAGCTACCCACCCATTCGTCCCTGACACGTGCCCGTGTGTTAGGGACCGAAACATGCCCTTTAAGTATATTTATCGAGTGAACCATTTTTGAGCTTGGACCAGAGAGCTTGGTTGTCGTATCTTGAATGTGAATTTACAAAAGTAAAACAAATTAAACACGTACAAATGGTCTCTGTTCCCATTACTAAATCAACGTTTTCGTCGGTATAGCCGATAAAAGCGAGCAAAATTCGCTATATCTTTGCTAGTGTTTCACGAAATCAAAAATGCTACTGTTGAGCTTTCGCATTCGGCTGCCAAATGTACGGTGTTTGTTACAGCTTCACGTTTTCCTCTGTTCATTCTTACGTTAGTCCTAACGCATACTTCTGCTGAGCCTATCGACAACCTAGCTGCCAAACTACCAACCAAAGCTCAACAAGTAATAGATCAATTATTATTTTTGTTCAAGGGGCAAGTACCTAAGAAAGTAGAAGCGCCCTATAGACACTAATCAACTTGCAGGCGGATAAACGTTTCCAAATCGACACGTTTTTGACCTGTTTTTATACTTTACTTCAATAAAACAAATCTGCATTAGTTTATGAATGGACTACACGAAGAAGGACGCGTTTAGTTAATTCATAGATACTGTAGAACTGCGAGATGTGCAATGTAGCTTATTGAATCTATGCAGTAGTTGATGCGTTTGCGTGCTTTTCACTAGCGTTCTGAGCAAAGTGCCAAAGTAAGCAGTATTGAATCTTTGTACAGCTATAGCGACAATGAGAAGAAAGCCTAAGATTAGCAGGCCATATAAATATATTTTGTATTGTTTTTTTTTTTTGTTTTTACTGGTATGCTCCTTCTCGAAGTGTACACTTAATGTGAGTTTATATTATACTATATTTAAGATTTGGGTTATCTACGATAATTTGGCAATAGTTTTTCTTTATGCATTATTTTACGGTACAATTTACTAAATCGAAAGGGTGACAGTTCACGGAACAATGCAATAGTGACAGACATTGAGGCATTTAACATTGACAAACCCTGTTAGCAGGTAGAATTTTCCTCTATCAATTCTAATAGCTACCGCCAGCGGCTGCTGACGTCGTGTCGGAAATCTAGCCGTGTGGCTACAAGTATGTAAGTAGAGCTACCCTAACCTTTTCTAGAAGCTTGAAAAGAGTCAGCTCTCTCGATGTGCTCTACCCTAGTGAGTAGGCGATCCGAAGTAGGAGTATAGCGTTCACCAGGCTCGGCGAGCCCATGTGAATTAATTCTCTCGACCGCACTATTGAACGCCATCTCCACGATGTCTTCGCCTGTCTCAAATAATCCGCCTGCGAAAAAGGACAACATTCACAAAAAAGGACTAAAAGTTATACATCGGCTGTTACGCTAAGCGCCCCAATACGGTGAACAGTCATGCAACACTAGAAAAATAACGCAACTTTCCTAAAACGGTTAACCTAATGAGCATGTTCGTGTCCATACGTGCTTAGGCTATGGTGATGGCAGGTACGCTCGACAAGGCACGATTAAATACACATGCGTTGTTGTTGATTACAGAATACGAAAATAGCACGCGTACGAGTATCCGGGGCCTAATTTTTCTCTTTGAAGAAATTCAGTTTACATTCTATTAGTCATTCAACGGCTCGTTTGCTTCGTGTAGATCGTAATGTGTTTACAAAATGTCACAAGTAATAAACGGGCTGATATATACTTCTTGTGCATTGATGTATGAATGACTTACTGGATCATCTTGGCCTATAATCTGGCTAAAAATGATAGCCGCTGCGAGGTGCTTTACGTATATTTATATATGACTACTACAGCACCCCAACGCACCATCTGTCCAGCGTATATTAAGCTACCGGGAAGCTATTTTACACTGTCTTTAGAGTGGGCTCCGAGACCGGGGTCTGCCGAAAGAACAGAAGGACAACTGGCGATTCTCGACTGCCTAACTACCATCATCATTGGCACTTTTATCACGGCTCACGCCTATTGGCCTGTTTCTCGTTCCCATTCGTGTCTTCACGAAGATACAAAGCTGTGAACACGCTTTCGCTTTCTCACTTAAACCGTCGACCGTACGTGATTTGTCCAAAGAGAAGAAAAAAACCTGTTGCACGCGAATATCGAGACGGAATGCTGCATGTGAGCGCGCGCTCGCTAACTCGCTTATTTGATTCTGGCTGAACTCAAGGCAATAATGTCAACCTTTTCGTAAACTGTTCATCCTGCCATTGGTTCAAACCGTTTCTGCAAACGTTCTTTGAGGGCATTTTTCTTACTAGCTACATAATACACCCGAGTACAGACGCTCACTTGCTTTTAGGACGTATGCCGTTTCTTTTCTTTCTCTTAGAGCCACAAACACACGGAAGAATAGGCGTACAGCTACAGCGGCCTCAGCTAAGATGAAGATTCCCCAAAGTAAACTCTATCAAAGTGTTTGCCGCTATGCTTCGAAGCGTACATACGACAAGTCGATTTATGCCGCTGAATGTATACAGCAACAAATAAACATAAGTTTATAACTGCACGCCTTTTATGTCATTACTCATCGCTAGACTGCGGTACAGTACGGAAGCTGCTAAGCCGCTGCTGACTCGCCAATAAAAAATTAAACGACTTCGTATTTATGTGCCACAATGCAGACACAGAATGTCGAATCTCTCCTAACGTTCGATGCGTGTGGCCGTAGTCCCAATTGATTCATATATTTATATAAGCTACGCTACTATGTGATATCGCATCGTGTTTAGAAACGTGTATATATACGTAACTCCTATACAGATTGTTGACGCTGCAGGAAGAAGCAAACGGCCATCTATCTCGTACTACACCATTCTCGTCGATATCTTAGTAGAATTACATGACGAGATTTTTATCATAGCGCTAGGCTCAAAGGCCGTCGGGCCATATTTGACCCTGAAAACGATCGGTTAGTAAATTGCTGAGGACTGCAACACTTTCGTTTGCCATACTTGTTTTCCTCCTTAGGAGAGAACAATCATTGATATGGGGTAACACAACCGAGCTGCGAAAGTTTCTTTATATTAAAGCATTGATTGATTTTCTAGCAGAGTCGGTACGATGCGATAGCAATCAGCTTAGGGAAAAAACGCGTGGACACATGTTTTTTCTCTCGTCTCCATTTCGTGCCATTCGAATACTAGTGGTGACAGATTGCATTGACAACGATGAAAACTTCCACCGGCCTGCTGGAAAAAGCTTTATTCGCAGACTGCCTTTTCGAAGTGTGTCGATCCACTATAGCTAGGACACCTGCACGTTTCCGTATCTCTGTTATCATATCTTTTTCTGTTGCGCGTCGAAAATCAGCTCTAGCCTGATAAAATCTTGTTTGAAACACAGGCAGATCGAAAAGAGCGCATTTACAATCGGGTGTGCACCTCCCCTGCTCCCTCTCCAATGTTGACCCCTAGTGATCCGTCAGGTACACTCGAAAAGTGCACTGTTAGCCGAATGTTTAAAAGAGACTGAAAAGGACACAAAAAAAAACGATGCCGATTCGTCCATTTTTACGGCTCGCTTGTCAAAGTGCGCGATCTTTCGACGTACGGAAACAGTTCCTCGTTCCAAGTTGACACTTCGTCCTTTAGATGTGAACAAAGGTCAAAAGCGGCGCACGTCGTAAACTCACTTTTTCCTCTTTTTTCCTTAGAAAATGATTTACGAAATGACAGTCAGCGGTATATGGTTGTGGGCATAGCAGGGTAGGACTAATGTACCAGGCGCGTATCGACACAGATCCTTACTCGAATACTATCTGACGCTTGCAACCGCAGAAGGGAAACAAACGCTTTTAGCTTTATGGATCTCATAGCAAACAAACTTGTGCATAAAATGAGTGCACATAATTTTCGTAACGTTGTACTGTACACAATATACGCGCGATTTTTCTCACACCAGTCGTCTATCTAACCATGCGAATTGATTTTCTAAATGATCGCTGGTTAGCTGCCAATGAACGGGTCATCACCACAACCGTCATTCTATTAATTAGCCTCTAAAGATGTCTAATCTTTTTTTCTCCGATTTTTAGATGTACAGCGAGAGACGGTATTAATTAAATGGGTCCCTCTTGCGCGATACGCTTCAAGTGATCCTGGATAAATTGGAACGTGGCTCGGCGCGCTGTTTGTCGCAGCGGATATGGGTGTACATTCGACCTTTGATGCTGCAGGAAAGCTAGTCTCTTTTGGAGCAAAATTTATCAGTCAGATGTCAACTTCGTATCTTTCGGATCTATTTCGACACTTGAATCTGTTTAGACCGCTTGCCTATTGTCGCTCGGAAATTTAAGTTCGCTAGATAGTTTTATATCTGGCGAAACTTAGGCGGGCTTTTTAAAAGTTTTCTTTAGGCCTCGCGATCAAGGCGAATAGCAGCTATAAATAAATGCGTCCATCAGAAAGACCCCTGTCGGGATATGCAAAAAATTCAAATATCATTCAAGTAGCTACTTTATTTAGACGCAATTTCTAAATAAGTGATATCAAATTTGTCTCAGTTTACCCCCGGTGACTTGTACAGGTAAAGTTCATCACTTTCAGGTATTTTTACACAACCTTACAGATTTATTTACGTCCGCGTCAATAGTAAAGTGGACATGTAACTAAAGAAATGAGAAGGTAGGATCGACAATCTTTTTACCTCGGCCGAACGGTGTAGAGGGAACGGAGAGCGGTTGAAGACGATAAGCTGGATTCCTAATTCTGGCTGGTCCATATATACAAATCGGCTTCGTCTTTGTCATCATACGTTCATAGAAGTATTACTAACAACTGGGCCATTGTTTGAGAAAGTGTACATTGACGCCCGAGTATTGCGAGATTAAACGCTTAAGCAATTGCTTTTCTTTCGCAATGCCATTACGAATCTGACCGGACAAGTCCAGCACGTGCTTAGGCTGTATTCGAGATGTACAGCTCATTCAAGCAATCACGTTACAAGCCTACATTTACTCCGATTGAGCTATCACTTAGCGACCTACTGGACAAGGAAGAACCGACAAAACGGACGAGAGGGGCAATGGAGCGGCGAAAACCAACAGCGGTATACGATTTGTTATTTGAAAAGAAAAAACTACATTAAAATATAAACCGCTCGAGAGTATTCCAAACGGCCAACTATTAGTAACAGTTGCAACATTACTCAAGGTGAATCGTTGAGAGCGGAGTCAGCAGCCTGGCTAGCTGAATTAATTCCAGAACGGCCTTCATGTTTCAGCTCTTGGGCCTGGGGCCCATCTATTGCTGCGATCCAGCAGCACGCAATGAAAATGGGCTCCGAAACGCTAGACTCTTCGATTTAGCAGATCCGAACAACGCTGACACTAGTGCCTGGGAAAGCACAAGTTCAATGGCGAGCGAAATTGTACCATAACTAACGGGTGTTACTGACCAACCCAGTGGACTTCAGTGAGCCTACGTTTCAGATCGAAGACTTGCACGTCTGAGGTACTACGAACACAGCACGCGCAGTTGCCATGAGTCCTTACTAATGCTTGAGACCTTTAAAACTATATGGAAAGTATATTTAGACAACGTTTTCTTATTTGAGCTTTTACTGAATACATATAGCAGCTATATTTTATTTCATGTGTAGCTCTCGTTGCATGTAATAAGGGTGACTATTATATGGTTACATAGTAATACCTGATGTGTGAAGCTTTTGCAATTATTCGCCAAGATCAACTTAACTTGTCTAACTCTCATCTTAACACTTTCATGTTTGTGCAACAAATTAATCTTCATCTTTACTCAATAATGTCTTCAATAGTGAGTGCAAATAGTAGCAGTGAAAATGCGTTTGGCCTCCTAGAAGCCCTTGAATATGCTCCGCACAACAAAAATGTTTTCTTAAAGCTACTTTTGCGGTGTATAACACTTGAAAGGATGCTATGATGTTTAGAAAATATCACGAATGGGTGAGAATTCGATTTTGTCTCACCCAACATGTTCATTGTGGTTTTGTCTGAGATATTACACGAAAGTCTGTGTGGTCGAGAGAAGATTAGCGTCTCTTCTCGAAGGAGATGTATCACCAAATAAATGTTCCTAAGACTACCCCCCTTTCAAAATCGCCTTCGCTGTGAGTGCGAGCAAAAGGACCTGCCGCAACAATGAATTGCTTACACTCATTTGTACGGTAGAATTTTGAGCCTGTCAAGTAACGGAACGATAAATATTTGGTCCGGTTCCGGTCCTGATTAAATCCGATCGTCCCATTCGCTAGTCGGCATGCTGGGCGTATGGCGGGCATAGGACCAAACAGGGTTCGGCCAACCGATGATTACAATAGT